CTCTGACTCCAGAAACACAAGGCTGGAGTTTGTTTGTTTGTTTGTTTGTTTGTTTTTAAGTCAAATCCTATTTGCTTAGTTACAATTAAAACTCAAATTTTCTTGGTTTTCCCCTTAACTTTCAAGAACAAGGAACAGTCCTCCATATACTCACTCACTTTCCCTGAGTTTATCTCATCTCTCTTATATGTAGTTTCACTGGAAAATCATGTGTACGAACAAGTGGATACAGAGCCTTAAGGCTCAGTCAATAACGGGATAAAAACATGGGAAATAGCAACAACAGGCTGAAGCTGAACACAGTGACAGACAAGGAGATGCAAATAGTCATGGCTTACAAGCCCTTTGGGGAAGCAGAATAATGTTCAAACTTTGAAATAAAGACACAGGCCCTAGCTACACCTACTGGTCTAGTTTCCTGGGAAGATACCTACCCTAGCACACGTGTCTCTGACAAGCAACACAAGGTATTTATCATGCCCTTTGAAATCTGAGAACCAAAAGTTACAGTACTCTGATCCGTAAATAATTGCTAAGGTCACCTTAAAACAAAAACCCCTACTGTGATATAACTACCTATGTCAGGAAAGGCAGACACTCTGATCAGTGTCTCCAGCAAAGGTCCTGTGCTTCTCAGAACTACTGGTCCTGAGGCAGCAATCACATCAGAAATTAGGATTCCAAGACTATAAAATAAGCAAATGAAGAAAAGCTCTCCTGCTGCTTGTGCTCAGCAATCTCAGGCACCAGACCCTAGGGCCTTTCAGGATTTACATTTGCTTCACTGTGCTAAATCCTGAGAAAAAAAGACATTCAAAATCAGTGCATATAATAGCCAGAACCTGGAAACAACATAGATAACCCTCAACCAAAGAATGGATAAAGATAATGTGTTACACTTACACAATGGAGCATTACTCAGATGTTAAAAACAATGACATCAGGAAATTTGAAGGCAAATGGATGGAACCAGGAAAAAAAAAAAAAATCATCCTGACGGAGGTAACCCAGAACCAGAAAGACAAACATGGTATGTACTCGCTCACAAGTGGATATTAGCTATAAAATAAAGGATAATCATGCTGCACTCCACAGACCCAGAGAGGCTAGGTAACAAGGAGGGCCCAAAGCAGGATGCATGGATCTCCCTGAGAAAGGGAAATAGAAAAAAATCTCCTGGGTTGACTGGGGGGCACAAGTGGGGATGGGAATATGAGGGATCAGGTTAGGGGAATGGATGGAGGGGGACAGTGCTGAAAGAGACGACTGGAAGTGGCAGGGGGTGGGGTGGGGGTGGGCAGTTCAGGGTCAGGTGGAAACCTGGTACAAGTAAAGCTCCCAGGAATCTACAAAGATAACCCCAGCTAAGACTCCTAGCAATAGTGGATACTGAACCGGCCATCTCCTGTGATCTGATTGGTGACTACCCTAACTGTCATCAGAGAGCCTTCATTCAGTAATTGATAGAAACAGATGCAGAGACCTACAGCCAAGCACTGGGCCAAGCTCAGGGAATCCTGCTGTAGAGAGGAAGGCAGAGGGGTCAAGCACATCACAAGGGAACCCATAGAAACAACTAACCTGGGCTCACAGGAGCTCACAAAGTCTGGACCAACAGCCAGGGAGCCTGCATGGGACCAACCTAGGCATTCTACATATATATGACAGTTCTGTAGCTTGATCTACTTGTGGGACTCCTAGCAGTGGGAGCTGGGGATATTCCTAATGATTTAGCTGGCTCTTGGGAACATATTCCTCATACTGTATTGCCTTCCCCCGCCTTAACACAAGGGGAGGTGCTTAGTCTCACCATAACTTGATATTGTCATGTTTTGTTGATCCCTGTGGGAGGCCTGCCCCTTTCTGAACAAAAACAGAGAAGTGGATAGGGGTGTAGAGGGGAGGTAGGGGGAGGGAATGGAAAGAGAGGAGGGAGGGGAAACTGCAGTGAGGATGTAAAATAAATAAATAAAGATAATTACGTTATGTTAAAAAAAATCAGTGCATAAAAGGAAAATATACAAAACTCAGTAGACACTATGGGGGAATCCACATATTCAGTACACTAGTCTTTCCAGTTGGTTTTCTTCTGTTCTGTAACAGACCTTCCTGTGTCTTTCTCATGCCCTGGTGAACTACTGAGTTTCTAAATGAATAAAAGAATGTTGGTTTTTAAATAGGAGCCCAAAAGGATTACAGGCTGGACTAGGCCACCATCTCCTGTTCTCAAGTGAGTCTTTCTGAAAGGTTTGCAACAAAAATCTGTACCACCCTATTACAGAAGTAAAAGAGAGTCGTCAGTCATAAAACAACGAAAGGACACTCACATGTCAGCTGGGAAACTGACATGCTGAACACACTAGCCAGCATCTATCTGCTAGGGCTTATTACCTATGTGATAGGTTTGTTCAGCATGTGTACAATATCCCATGACCATGAGGCATCCTTACTCCTTGTATATTGAAGACAATAAATGTCATAATCAGAGAAGCTGCCTCAAGATCACAGGAGTCAACAACAGAGTCCAGCTCTAATATACACATCTGATTATAAAGCCTCTGCTCTTGGGCCATCAGGTCTACTACTAGGAGCACTTAGCCACAAGGTACAAATTGTGGTCACTATGAAACATTCCTTATAATAAATGTCTACAATATTATGCAGAATCTCCATAGACAGCATAAAATAGAATATCCAGCTTATTAATATAATATGACTTTAAACCTTAAAGTCATTAAAACATGGAATTGGCTTGAATATATTCTCAGGATCACAAGAACTAAATTCCTCTCATTTCATAAATCCAGGAATGTTGCAGAGTGGATCAGAACTTTCTCTTCTTAAAGAAAAGTTCATGGCATAGCATGGCTTATTTCTATATTAGGTTAAACAAAACCAAACAAAACAGAAAAAGAAAAAAAAAACTACAGGTTGCTTCATTTGGACATTTTAAAAAGTGACATCTCACCTGAGCAGTAGCAGATAAAGAAGCCATGCTAATACACCCCCACCCCCCACCCCATCTCCTGAACTGGTCAATAAACAGAACAAAAGACTGGAATATTCAGCCCTAACCCAGCATTCACATCGCACTCCTTAACCCAAGGCTCAGGAATCTTCATGAAAAGGGGGTTGCAAAGATGTTAAAAGCCAGATGGGGTGGACGACTTTAAGGAAATTGTTTTCTGGACACAACAGTGCAGAAGGGGTAAGAACTCGCAGAGACTGTGTCCTAAATCTGGCAGAGAGAATCCCAGCAGAGAGGAATGGTGGACATGCAATCTCTCCAGCTGAGAAGCAGTTAGCATCTGATAGCTGCTGGGAGAGGGAGAGACTCTTCTCCAATGATGGCAGGCTGGCGGGCTGACCATGCACCAGAGCAGGCCCAATCCCAAGACTGGCTGGCCACACAGACCAGACTCAATGGGGAAAGAAGGGGTAAACATAATAGCAAAGTTAGGTGAGAAGGGAACAGAATGAAGCTTTAAAGGATACTGGTGAGAATATCTCAGAGGGGCAGAGCACACCACAGTTAAGAATCATAGCTCTCTAATGTTCCAATCTCAGAGGAAGAGCTACAGCGCAGCCTGTCTACACAGCCTGTTTCTAAAGCACCTGCTGGAAAGATGCTACAGTCCCAACGTATCTGAGCTGTTCCTCCTCAGTGTACTCAACTCCCTTGTGCTGGGATGGAGCTTACCAAAGAGTCAGTGAGGAGAGTGGCATGTGGACACAGCCACACAGCAGTTCATGGGAACAAATTTATGCTATCTGAATAGAAACTCATTATCCAGGATACGACAAATTCAGTGCCACTCTGTAGGCCATTTGATTAATTCCCAACACTTTTCATTAAATCACGATGGAGCACACTGGAACTTTAAGACCTCCTTGAATATTAAACCGTGACAACAGTAGAGAAGTAGATGTAACAAGCAGGTCTCAGTCATGTTCCTTCAAAAATGACATTTGCAAAGAACATTTCAAAACTATGAGTGTTGAGAATGATACAAACATGCTTGTTGAAAAAGGAATGCTGTGGGAAAAGGAATACTGGAGAGATGGCTCAGCAGTGAAGAGCCTGGGGACGTGGGCTCAATTCTCAGCTCCCACATGGCTGCTTACAACTATCTGTAACTCCAGTTTTAGGATATCTGTAGCTATCCATTGGTGAACTACATACCAATACTATATATCACTGATAGGGCATTACCATAACCTGTTACTACTTAATTATACACAAATAGATCTAGCTAATTTAAAAGAAGAAAGCAAAGTATATAATGTTTTCAAAGTTATTTAATATCTTAATATTTTTCCTATAACAGGTAAATCCACATCAGAGGTAAAGACACTATGGCAACTAGCTAATTAATTAATTATATACTATTTTACATTAGACTTCACCTGCCAATAGTCTCAAATATTTTGAGTCTCACAAATACAACACAATATTTAGCATAACTCTGTAATCATTGAGTACACTTTCAATGGCCACCTACTTCACTCAGTGGTTTATTCACCAAATACGGTATGGTCTGGATCTGAACTGTCCCACAAAGGCTCATATGTTAAAACCTTGGTGTCAGATGATGAGACCTGGAAAATGACTAACCATGGTGGTCTAACCTCTCAATATTTAGGGGAAGCAACTGGAGGAAGTAGGTCCCTGAGGACATGTCCTTCTAAGACCCTTCCTGTCCTTCATCTCCTGGGCTGCCAGAATGTGGACATCTCTTCTATACATACTCCATCATGACACCCAGCTTTATCTTGGGTCCAAAGCAAGGAGTCAACAGACTGTGAGTGGAAATCTCCAAACCATGAGCCAAAATCAACCCTCCCTCCCAGTAAGTGTGTTCAGTCATGGTCTATGACAGTGAAGAGATCTGACAAACACATACAGCTAGGAGAGGTCTATGACCTGAGTGTGATTCTGCATACCCAAGAGTAAAGCTTTCCCTGGGGCTTGCAAAGTCAGCAGAACCTCCTGAACCTACCTTATACTCATCCACAATAATGCTCAGTGCCTCGTGCCCAGCCTTCCTCATGTCTTCCAATTCTTGCTTATGCTTTTCCTGAAAGGGAAAAAGAAATTGAATCCACAATTTGTTCTTCATGTTTGTTCCACAATCGTAATAAACCAGTACCTTTTCCTTTATGCCCTGTAGCATGCAGAACACTGAGTCTGCAGGTGACATCAAAAAGAAAATGGATTTGTTGGCTTGTTTTTTTGAGATAAAAGTCCATCTAAAGCATGGGCATGCAGAGAACGAAGGAGGCATTGTGAGACAAAGGCAAATGGATCTCTGTGAGTTTGAAGCCAGCTAGGTCTACATAGTGAAAGACAGGTAAGTCAGAGCCGAACAGTGAGATTCTGTCTCAAAAATAAGAAAATAAATGGAAGTATTTGAGTATTATTCTCCAATAAACAGGTTTGTTTTCTACATAGAATTCAGTAATATATGGACTTTTATGTCTTCCATTATTCCTTCTGTTGAAAATAAGATACCTTGATCACACTTAGTAATCCTGAAATGCCCATTCTTTTTTCCTTATGCCCAGAAAGATCCCAGCACAAGTGTTGTAGAGCCTGGGCTTCTGAATGTATTAGAGTCACAATAGAAGCACTCCTACTTCACAGAGCACCTCAGCCCAGCACTCAAGTCACCTGGCTACCCTATGCTGCAGAGGCAGATGTGATGGGGACTCAAAATCTAGCGACTACATAGCGTAAATCAGGAGCTGTATAATCAACAGCAACATTTGCTGAGCTATCATAACTATGGGGGTTCATTCTTCAACACCCAGGCTAAAAATTATTTTTCAATGTTTATTTGTATATTAGTTTTATATTATATTATATGTATTATTTCAATAATTATTTTTCTTTTATGCTTTGCCACTGTCAAGCCTACTAAAACTCACATGAATCCCTTCTAATAAATTAATCAAGGCAGAGCAAGGGCACCCTTTGCCACACAGATGATGCACAGCCATCTTTTGATTGACAGATTGGTAAGGAATAAGAAAACAATGAAATTGTGTGGGCCAATCAAACATGACATTCTACCTAAGATAAGGTAATCAACCGATGTTGCCTTTCAAATTCTTCGGTGGGGCTCAGTCTAGGAATAGGAACTGAATTTGTTAACGTCGTCTCATTGAGATACTTCCAATGCAGGCTTGACCAGCATTTTCTCTGAAGCCACGGGTCATAATAACTAAGTCAACCCCACAGGAGAAGGCAGCACATGCACCTTCAGACAACACACAAGGAAATGAGTCCAGCAAGAGATTAAAACAAGGGACAGCATGAAAAAGCTCAAGGCTCTGAGGAGCAGAGCACGCTTTGGTCCCGCTGTGGTCTAGGGAACCACCCAGGTTGGCCTACTGTAAACCAGAGCATGGAAAGCTCAGGCTGTCACACACATGTCCAAACAAAGAGATGTGGTGCAACACCACCTCCATGATTTCCATTAGCTGTGACACAAGACATTCCTTCAGGGTCTTTGTTTTTGAGGCAGGTTCTCCCTCGATAGCCTGGGTTAACAATCTAGGACTCACTACGCAGTCTCCCAGGCAGTTTCAAGTTGACAGCATTCCTCCTTCTGCCTGGCAAGTGCTGGGGTTCAGGCTTGAGCCACCACACTCAGCTTCTTCCTGACAACAGTGTCAGGTCTGGCTGAGCCCAAAGGGTTCCCTACTTCTTGCAGACTTAAGGCATCTGGCACTTCGGTTTCTTTATACTTGGTGACAAGTAATACCACATGACCGAAAACCTGGGAATCTTCCCATGGGTCTCAAAAATGTCATTTTCAGACAAATATTGAATGGTGAGAAATAACAGATCTAAGGATCAGTCTAAAAGTATCATGCAGAACTACAAACAGAAGCAAAGCATCCTTTGCAAAGCTGTTGAAGCATTTACGTTTGTGACCTCAGTAAGACTGTCCCCTCAGCTTATGGTAAAGCAAATCTCCCAGGATTCCTGACTGAATGACCTTGACCACTAATGGCTACCTCCACATACTGCATACATTTCATGCACAAGCTTAGAAGGGCCTTGCTGAGTCTTCCTCAACAAAAAGAAGAAACTAAAGCAAATTCCTCCAAAACTTTTACTAACAAATAAAAGATGGGGTTGTACAGAGAACTCCAAATCTCTTCACAGAGGCACAGAAGTAAGGAGCTCATTTTCCTACATGCTAATTTACAAAGGTTTTCATTTAGACATGACAACCCCATATCCATATCTAAACCCAAACTGTAAGGAATTAATAAGTTAGCAAATGAGGGACAAAGATGAAAACATTCACTCCTGTGGAATTCAGGGTGATGCCTGTGTCTCCCTCCTTGAGCACAAAGGCTCATCCATCCACGCAGGTTCTAAGGTGTGAACAACTCCACCCCCATGAGGAGCCTGGGAAGAACCAAGCCTCCTGTGAAGCTGCCGGCATCAGATTAGCACCACTTGGGATGCTAAATTCTTCAAAGGCAGATACTTGAGAAGACATGCTTAGAGCTAATTTAAGATAAGCAGAGGGGGAAAGATGGAAATGGAAGTTAGAAAAGGAAAACACAAAGATGTAGTAGGAAAATGGCGGAAGGAATGAAGGAAGAGGGAGGAATGGGGTGGGGAAAAGGGGAAGAGAAGGTGAGACGGAAGGGGAAGTAGTGGAAGAGTCACCATGTCCAAGGAAAGCTGCACCTCTCTCCCTGTACAGAGATGACCACCTCCAGTCCTCCCTACCAGGGGTCAGAGGGTGGTATTTAGCCAACCAACAGCAGAGCAAAGAGTCCCCAGGCAGTGAGGATGGCTCACTGGTAAAATGTCTGTTGTAGAGCATGAGAACAACCTGGTAGTACTGGAGTGGAGAGCTGGGGCTTGCTAAACAAGCAATCTCAAAATCAGAATGTGATTTAGGAAGACATCAGATATCAACTTCTGCCCTATACACACATGTGCACTCATACATAGACACACACAAAAGACAAAGAAAAAAAGAGAGAGAGAGAAAGAAAGGAAGGAAGGAAGAAGGAAGAAGGAAGGAAGGAAGGAAGGAAGGAAGGAAGGAAGGAAGGAAGGAA